AACACGATTGTACCTGCATTTAATGATAGAAATGCAACATGTACTGTTTTAGTTGAACTTGATATCATTGGAATTTATATAAATATTTTACTAAAGCTGATCCTAAATGAAAAGTTTCAATCATAATTGTCAGCTAGAACGTAAAAATGCACGCTACATTTAAAACAATAAAAAATTAAGATTCATCCACGACGATTGATTACAGTCAATAACAAACACACATTTACAAATTTTAAATACAATAATTATTAAATATTGCTTCTTTCATATCTCCATTTTGCTGTATTTTATGAGCAATACAATTCTTCCAAGTGTATATCCTTTCCGAATTTCTAAGTACAATACTTATTCTCTGGATTCTTTTACATAATTAGAAAGAACAAAGAACAAAAGTAGCTTGAAAGAAATATTTGAATAAAAAAAGAAAAAAACTAACTAATAAAATTCTGGCAATAAAATTACCTAGTTGCACTGTTTCTCAAGAATACTTTTCAATATATACTTATTTTTGTTATTTTCTTTTCTTTTTTTTTTTTTTATATAGATAATCGCACACCTATACATTCGCAGAAGCGATGTGAGAGAATTTTGGGCATTTGTAATGGACATTCTCTTTCAGCCGTTACACGGTTAATCCAGTCGGCTCGAATAATATCAGGCAGTATCGAAATTATTCCTATTACTCTCCTTATCTTTTATAGACGAAACAAACGTGTTCGATCGCTGGCGAAATATCTGAAAAGACGAAAAACTAAGCCTTTCTTAGTAATAAATTATTGAGCTTGTGCCAGTAAGCGTTGCCTTAGCGTACCTCTATGTTTCGTTAAAATTAGATAGATCACTACGGAATGATTTTCTTATTTTTCTTTTCCTTCTTAAAAAATTTTCTTCGTTTTCGTGAATTGTGTGAAAGCGACACGATATATTGACTCTGTTGTGATTTGCTGAAAGATATCCAATTGCTACGTGGATTTTGAACATTTTTCAATAATAAAGGAAACTATGGAAAAACGTTATTTAAAAAATTTATCAATAGCTAGACTTTTTTTTTTTTTAAATAAGAATTACAGCATCGAATAGATTAAAATTATAATACATGTATAAAAATTAATGGAATGAACTCCGATGGTTAATAATACTTTTAACAAATTTTTGTCATAAAATTATTAAGTACTCGATTTATAAACTCTACAGGAACCCTCGTAGCAATTCAATATGTAGCTCAATACAATTAACAATTGCAACAAAATACTGTTTAACTTGATCTTTCAAGTTACGTAGCTGAAAAGCGAGTGAAAAAAAAACGAATCTCGTGTGCCTACGTTCAAACAAATGGAATACTCAATTGTTGCACAGTAGAGATCTAATTGTCGAGCCTTCCCTTCTGGTGAACAAATTTACATAATATCGATAATTTACTTGATTAATAAGATTCTACAATTTTGCAAGGGGTACATGCTCTTCTTTTTTTTCTTTCTTATTTACCAAACGTGCACGAAAGCAGAAAATCTCGCTTCTTCGAGAAGTTCACGTGTCTGGTGCGTTCATAATCGATTTTCGCGGGACGTGCCAATTTTTCGTGACAAAACGGAAGTATGTACAGTATAATTTAGGCCAAAGCGAAAAACTGTGAGACGCGTTCAACCCTTAACGTTCCAA